CCCGCCCCGCCCCCCGCGCTCTCCCATTGGGCGCACCGCCCCTCGGCTCGCGCAGCTACGGCGCCCCCATTGGCTGCCGAGCGCGGCCCTGAGTGGCCGAGCCTGCGCGGGGAGGGAGAGAAGGGGGCAGCGCTTAAAGCAACACGCGGCGGGGCCGCGCGCTGCCCCGGGCACGTGCTGCGGGGCGCGGACGGGCGGGCGGGCGGGACTCGGCCCGCGGGGTCCACCCGCTCCAAGCCCGGGTAGGGAGCCCTTGGACGGGGGCGACCCCCGCCCTCCCCGGGACCAAGCAGACCGCGGTCGCGCCGCCAGGCGGTGAGGCGGGCGGGGGGTTCCGTCAGACGGCCTCACGCCTCTCCGCCGCAGCGCCTGGGCCTGGGCAAGGTGTCCGTGGCGCCGCGGGAAGGCTGGAAGCCGGCAGGGATGGCAGCTGCGGCTCCCTCTCCTCTGGGAGCCGGACCCAAGGAAACGGTTGTGCGTTAGACGTAGGGCTGCCCAATTGTGTCTAGCTCCAAGTGCGGTCGCTACCCGGGAGGACGAGGGCTCGGCAGGGGTTTATCCAATCGCTCTGCCACCAGCTGAGCATTACCCGTGATGGCACCGGGGATGTGGGTAATATCCAGGCAGACTTGACCCCCTTTTCCCTTAATTGCTTTTCTCCATTAGATTAGTTGCATCTTCATGGCAATCTTTTAAAAACGCTTGTTAGCTGCCGGCATCCTTTTAATCTGGTTTATACTTGAGAGAAATGGACACATGCGTGAAACAGGCCTTTGTTCAGGCGTTTGGATTATTTGGACGCAAGGCAAATACACTTCAGCACCTTGAAGACACCAAGGAATCAATTAATCCTCTCTCTCTCTCTTAATGCAAATGCCTGTTCTGCCCTACCAGAACATACCCAAATTCTTTTCGGTATTGCTCTACAAGTTGCATGTTGCAATTGAATACCATTGCTATGATACAAATGGTGTGACAACAAATTACATACCGTTCTCTTTTCTTCAGCTGGGTTGTGCTTTGGTTTATTTTTTTTCTCTCCTTTGTGATTGAAGCCTACTCCACTTAAAAAGCCCCAACTTCCCCTTTGAAGAGCTCCATTGTGGCTGACAAGTTTAACAAACCTGAAAAGCAAGACTATTCTAAGGGTGCCTGGACACTGGTCTACCTAAAGCCTTGAAGGTTAAAACTCTTGTCAGAATCAAGAGTTTTTTATGAGAAATGAGACTGGCAAAAGAGAACAGGACAGATGTGTTTCTGGTGATGAGGTTGTTATGAAGTTAGCTCTTGCATTCTGGATTAATTACATTTCTTTTGAAGGACATTATGCTTGCTCACAGGTACTGCAAATGCTAGTAATATGGCTTGCAGGATACCCAGATAGGTCAACCAAAACTGGCTGCAAGAGGCTGTGCCCAGTCTTGAGAATTATCCTGGGCTACCCCTGAAAGTGTCTGCGTCAATGGAAGGCACCGGAAGCCTGGCAGATCACCATCAGTCCTATTGTATAACTTTTTAAAAGTGTGCCATTTACTTAAGTCACCATATAAATTACACACATAGGGCCACTTCCCAGTCCTTTTCTTGTAACCATCACAAGCACTGCTGGAATAATGTGGCAAAGCATCAAAATACCAGATAACTCACTTAGCTAGTAAAACGTCCAGGAAACAGTGCTCTCCTCACCAGGAATGGCTGAGGCAAAAAATAGTATGGGTTGCATACCAACAGCATTGGAGGTGAAGGGATCTTCTCATTCCCTCTTGTCACTCCATGTATATATGAAAAAGAACCTGAGCTTCACAACATTCCACAGGTAAATGCCCAGGAGGTAGAAAACCAGCACCCTGGCATGTCTGGAGAAATAAATGGAACCTGTCCCTTAGACAGTTTATCCTCTCCAGAAATACTGGGGTTGTTTGGAAGCGGCGTGCCATAAAGTTAAATTTAAGGCATAAAATATTCTGGACACATTCTAATTCCTGTTACTGTTATGAAGAGGCCAAAAATGAAAGGTATTGATTCATATTTATTTGAATGATGCATGTTACGGAGCCAAGTCACGACTTTGAATGCAGAAGATATCTGACAATTATAGTGCTTCCCACATTATAGTCGCACTGCAAAAATGGCACTGCTCCAACACAGTTGTTATGAGAATATAAAGCAAAGCATTTATGTATACTGCTCATCAGCAGTTGTATTGCTTTACATGCATTAGATGTGAAAGTTCAACATGTAAAGTCATGTACTCAGACCTAATCAAACAGCATGTACTTCATACATTAATTTGTTTAATTTGTAATGTGTTACAACAGGATCTTACTCCTACACCTTATGGAAATAATGGAAACTACTAAAGCAGGATTATGAATTACTTGAAAATAGTTTTGAAACTTTTTTTTTTAATTATACAAAAAAACCCAAAACAAAACCCCAGCCCTGAATAACTTGGATCCAGATCCCCTCAGAGTCTTCTTGTAATTCACACCTCCCAAGATCTGGGTTTTGGTTCAGCCGTCAGGCTCCTTGCTGCCTTCAGACTTTGCCAAACAGTGTCCAGGCAACTTTGAACAATACATTTCATACAGTTTCATGTGGTTTAGGCTGTGGTTTCTTCACATCCATGATACCCTTACTCTGGTCATAACACCTAATGTAATGGTGTCAGCAATGATTAAAAAAATAGGAATAAAAATTGTCAGCACAGAGACTGTGAGCCTTCTACTGCTATCACTTGAACCAGCCTTTTAGTGACCTCAGTCACTTTAGTCACTCTAAATTCACTGGAGTCAGATGTGATCCCACACATACGGGATCCATCTCTGCATCTTCAGCTTGTCTCCACCTCATATTTAAACTCATTGGCCTGCGTGAGCTGAGCAGATATGGGTATGCTCACATACCACTCTGAAGTGCCACCCTGGGAGGTCATGAGCGCTACCACCTCCCACCGACTTGGAGGCACTCAGCACCTAACCAGAGGCTTTCTGAAATGTACTGCTTTGTAGTCATTGTTGGGAGATTAAATCTAGGTATTGCAGACATCCAAGGTGTTGGCTCTTTCTTAACATATGGTGTGTAGTAAAAGCTGCAGATAGAAACAAATCAATCCAAACGTTGGAAGCATCTCAAGAGTGTCCTCAAAGACAGACTGATGAAACACAAAGAGCTTGCATGAACAAATCTGCAACCTGCTGAAAATAGGGATGTAAACAAGTCAGGGAAGTGGTCAAAATAGTAACCCCAAACAAAAAGCAGAGAAACAAAGGTCAAAGAGGTTTAACTAAGTTCATAGTCCCAAATCCCACATTATGGCTATCAAAACAACTAATACTTAGGGAGTTTTGTTGTACTAAGGACTGAAAGTTCATGAGTAGAACCACTCACTGCTCATAGTAATATATATATGAAAAGTGTACTGTTAAAAATAATAGTAATAATAGTAAACCTTATGGAAGACGACTGTGCTCCAAGTACCTCCAAATATGTTCTTGTCTTGTTCCAAAAATAAACAAATGCAAAGTAGTACATATGAAGGAGGAATATACTGCTTGAAATTGTTTTACCTACAGTTGTTGCAAGTGATATTGAAGGTTGAAAGATTAAAGATTCTGCGAGTCTAATCTAAACATTAGATTACGCCCCAGGATATTTCACTGCATTTCTCATCTTTCCCCTGCAGAGTGAGTTTGTTTTGCTTGTTTATGTGGGTGTTCAACATCAACAGGAGAAAAAGACTTTAAAAAAAAATAGGACAAATACAATAGAATTTGCTTCACACAAAACCTGTAAGATCCTAGTCAATATTCCAGAATATCTGGGGGGGATTTGAGGAGGAAAGCAGATTGAAATAAGGTATTAAGATTAAAACAATAAAAAACAACAGATGGGACCTTGGACATAAGTCAAACTACATGTGATAAGCAGAAGACAGCTTTAAGCGAAATGTGCTCTTGCCACATTTTATGAAGTACAATCTTTAAGAAAAGTTATCATATAAATAACATCCTGAGGCTTCAATGCCTCACCGGCATTAAGATAACACATTTTTGACAAACAAACCCCATTCCTCAATATGGCTCTTAACTGCAGGCTTGAGAGAGGTTTCCACCGCATGTTCACGGCACACATAATTACCTGGGAGAAGTACGAGGTTAATTTCTTTAGAAGTCAGTGCTAAGTTCACCTACACGTGACATATTTTTCCACACATACAGATCCATTTTCTGAACACATGTTAAATGACAGCAGGAACCCTGAGCAATAACCTCATTGTGAGTGTCCGGCTGCCAAAGGAGAGGGGCAACTAGGATCAAACTTGGTTCACCAAGGTGAGCTCTCACCAGCTGAGAGTGACTGCAGCTGCTCTTGGGTTCTGCTGAGGGAAGAGAATGGGCAGCAGAAATGGCATGTTGTCCACCACATTTCTGAATCTTTGGTTTCGATAACATTGAAAGAAGTGGCCCAGTTCATTTAAACTAGACACAGCTTAATCTCCCCCAGGTATCCTGCCAGAGAGATGCTTAATGATAATTAGCACATAATTCCTCCCCTCCAAGACTAAAACTTTCCTTTCTTTAAGGAACAAGTAATTTTTCTTTCAAATTATCTTCCAAAAACTTAATATTTTTAAACATATATTTACAGAGCTTGCAATACAACACAGAGATTTATCTGTATTTATGTTGTGTATAGAGATGTAACGTGGTTCTGTATTTTTAATCTCAGGGCAGAAGAATGTATACGAGCTATAGAAGGAAACTCTTGATTTACAAACATTAAACGCTGATAGCTCCTACAAGCCACCAACACAATTTCTGTACTGTGAGTATAATGGAACTATATACTGTAAAATATTTATTTCAAGTGTTGACATTATAAATTACTTTGATAAATGATAATTTTTCAATAATGTAGATTTTATGGCCATATTTTAAGACAATAAACGTCCTGGACATGTGCTGAATAGGCATATATAGCTATAGACACTCTTCACTTAAGAGAGCAGAGAAGAGAGTTCGCTGCTTCTGAGTCAGGCTTACAATCTTATTTTGCTTGTTTGTGTTTATAGCATTTGGAAAAGCTAAAGAGATTGTGAAAAGCATGTTGGCATGGCTTATTCATGCACTGAGAGGAGTGACAAAATGATTTTACTTCTCTCTCCACATACATGTACTAGCCCTGTAGTTAAACTAATTAACTTTAGCAGAGTGTGATGAAGTGGGAGCATGAGATTCTCTGATTTGGGAAAATAAGTACTCAGAAAGAATTTCTGAGTCCGCCTTGCATTCAGCCATGGGGAGCAGGGAAGCTTTTAACTAGCTTGGTTACATCTCAGCCAGAGATCAGTTTGTCTTAGTTGTGCCATCCTGTCCTCATGCATTGCACCTTGCATTCAGCCTGATTTTGGCTGCAGGAGAGCAGGGAGCCATCACTAAGAAAGAGGATGCAGTCTTTGAGAAGATGAAAAAAGGAAAGCTGGGCAATGCCCCAAGCCCCACTGCTGTTAGCAGCCAAGACCTCATCCAATGAACATTGGATGTTCATTGAACCCTGAACAGCCAGGGTGTCAGGCTCACTGTGCTCAGCAGGAACACACAGACATCTCCAGCAGTCATGGCTGGCGTGGTTAGGCTGGTGTTTCATAGTGGCAAGCCTGCAGGTCACCTCTTATCTTTGACGCAGAGATCAGTAAAACCTTGGACTAGGTCTACTTGGGGTCTTTCCAAAGAAGCCTCAACAGCTTGCTCAAAGCAGCAGGTTTGTGCAGTGGTTGTAGAAGGAAGATGATGCAGACACCTGACCTTCATGTGTTGCCTTAGCTTCCCTGAACACACTTGCAACCTGCCTGGCAGCTCACAAAAACCTTTTTTCAGCAAGAGAAACTGCAGCACAACAGCCACCCCAAACTTCATGCAGTGTCATACCTGTCC